AAATATTGTCTTTAACACGTATATTTAATTTTTGAGAGCTATCTAATTGCATAAGGCAATAGTAGGTGTCCATGTCTACTGCTACAGCTAAGCACAGGCTCTAGGCACACTGGTGGATGTCAGTCACAGACACCAGCGCGGGCCAGGCCTTATGTTGCTGTGAGAGGAACAATGTGAACAAGGCGTGGAGAGGAGGCAGAGGGATTGTTTTCAGGAGACTGTGGCAGGCACAGCAGTTAGGATACAAATCCGTTCTGGCTGCTCATCCTCGGGCAGCTTTGGCTACCCTAATGAAAGTAACAGCTTCCAAAGTGTGAGTCTTACACATCCAAACCCACCACAGTGAGAACAGATGTCATTAAAATAAGGAACTATTTTTAAAACCTGTGCAGTTTTTTTTCAAATGACTCATCATGGAGCTGACAGTTGAGTCTCTGCCTCCCAGTTTGGAATATCAGGGAGGAATTAGCTTTCCGTTTGGGGTGATGAAACGTTTTGGAAATAGGTAGTAGGGGTAGTTGCACAACATGGCGAAAGTAATTAATGCCATTGAAATGTACTCTTTAAAATGCTTAGAATGGCAAATGCTCTGTATATTTTTCCACAATAAAAAAAAAATTCAGATGATGGTGGTAGAGGGGGGTATTTTTAATGTCCTAGTTTAGTACCTTATTCAGCCATATTATATTCCCCAATTTTTTGTTTTTTCTTTTTACATTTTATTGGTCTAGGACAGTGATGGCGAACCTTTTGAGCTCGGCGTGTCAGCATTTTGAAAAACCCTAACTTAACTCTGGTGCCGTGTCACATATAGAAATTTTTTGATATTTGCAACCATAGTAAAACGAAGACTTATATTTTTGATATTTATTTTATATATTTAAATGCCATTTAACACAGAAAAATCAACCAAAAAAATGAGTTCGCGTGTCACCTCTGACACGCATGTCATAGGTTCGCCATCACTGGTCTAGGAAGTCCAAAAGTCTGTAGACTACTTCATCTATACATCAGTGAGAAAGTAACCAACCAAGATGGGTTATTTGAAAATCCATAATTTATTTTGAAAAGAAAACTTTGATCTGTAGCACCTTCTCCTCTTTCTGTTACCTTTGCATTTTTTTTTTGGCAAGGAATGGCAAAAAAAAGGAGATTATATTTTGAATAAAACTAAGAACAATAAATAGCCCAATACCATATTTCTAAATTGTTTTTCTTCAACTACTTATTTTTTTCTATTGTTTGAAAGACTTCACCTAAATTATGAAGCAATACAAAGATCAGTCCTTTGGTCATGCCACTGCTTTTATAATTTGGTGAAACTGAACAGTGTCCTCTGGATTTCACAAAATTTGTAAAATAATAACGAGGTCCTGCTGCTTCCCCTGGAGACAACTGTGGTCTTTGAAGGGCATCAAAATTTCAAGTCAGTGTCATTGAAACTCACTAATAGAAATAGGAAACTTATGTAACTTACAAATTGAACTTAAAAGTTGAAACCCCCCAAATAAGCACATGTAAGCTTCATATATACATATATATAAACAAGCAATACTCATTCTGGTTATCAAGGTTTATTTTTATCTTTTACATTATATTTGCTTTGCAACTGCATGTTGACCAAACAGTTTTGATTTAAACATAAATTTAAGGGTCCAGGTTTTTGCATCCAATGATCAGATTCAAGACTTCCTCTAGGCAAGACAGCGCAGTTTGTCATCAGCACTCAGTCCCCTTCCTGCTCTTTGTGCCTTCCCTCTTCCTCTCCAGTTTAATGTGTTTCCTGGCTGATCACTATCATGACAGCTTACCATAGCAAGTCTGAAAGAATCTTAAACTCAATGTCCTCATGACAGATCTGCCACTCAAATAGCTAAATCCTGGTAGAGCCTGCAATGGAACCCAGAGCTCCTGACCCACTGGCCAGTGCTCATGCCTACATCTCACCTGTTCTGCAACAGGCCACTTCCCCTCCACCTTCAATGCTCTACAATTTGCACTGTGGATCTTCTAAGAACAAGCAAACTAATAAAATATGATATTCTCAACAGGTCAAGTCAGGAGTTTAGGTTAATGAACACGGCTCTCAGTCACTCAATGTGTTACAGTTTACACATCTTTCTTAGGGTTCTTTGAATTTCAGTCAGAGATTTCTGGCATCTGTTACCTCAACACCTAGCCCCCCAAAAGATAAAAATAAAAATGGTAGAAATTTGTACACTCTGGCTGATTAGAAACATTGTTTTGTGGGAAGCCAGTGGATTATTGGTGTCTGTTCAGTTCTCAATATTATAGCACATCTACTCACAATGCTGGAGTAAAATAAACAGTGCCTTAAAAAAAATCAGAAGCTTATACTTCTAAAATACTACAAGATGATTTACAGTTAACCACAGAAAAAAATTAGAAGTCTCAGTCCTTTGCATGAGAGTTTTGATCTTTGCTTTAACTCTTTAATTTATAAAACACTCAGATCTTGTATTCATTCTGGAACACCTTATGATTATGCTAAACCACACAATAATTTCCAAGTTTCCTGTATAATGGAGGTGGTATTTTGTATATTTTTTACTCCATATGGATCAAAAATGTATAAGTAAATGACAATATAGGTTAATATATGCCAAAATTATTATCAATATCAGGCAGTGTCATACTTGAGAAATATTGTGGAAAGTGTATGCAGTAGGAACAGTTAGCAATGAGTAGACACTTACTTTGGGTGAGCCATTATTTTAAGTGCTTTATGTGTCTACTCTAGTAGATATTACTGCCCTAATTCACATACAATAAAATTGGGATTTAGATGTTGCAGAACATGCTCAAGGCTACACACCCAGTAAATTAAGGAGATGAAGCTACAACAAGGTCTTTATCACATGAAAGCCCTGTGCCTAACTACTGTAATACCCCTATTCCAGTGCATTTGGGCATTAGTTTTGACTTTACAAAGCTTAGAAGAATCATGAAATTGCAGCCTCTTTTTTAAAATATATTTTTATTGAGGAAGGGAGAGGGAGAGAGAGAAAACATCGATGAGAGAAACATCGATCTGCTTTCTCCTGCATGCCCCCTATTGGGCATGGAGCCCACAACCCAGGCATGTGCTCTGATCCAGAATTGAACCAGTGACCTCTCAGTGCACAGAAGGATGTTCAATCAACTGAGCCACACCCACCAGGGAAGAAACCTCTTGTAGCTGTGTGTCACGTCTAAACTCAAGTCCCTGCAGGAGAAGGCCCAACCCCCAAGTGTCCTCCCACGGGGCTGGAGAGATGTTCCTTGTGGCCCTCAGACATAACTAAGCATACTTAGGCAACAGTTTTTTTCCTCTTCTCAGAAAGAAGACATTAGAGAGATTTAGGTAGAACTTGGATGCAGTCATTGGGAATATTGTAGGGGAAAATTACATGTAGGATAGAGTGGGAGATATTTACTTTTCATCTCTTCTAATTCCATGGTCCTAAAATAAGAAGATAAAAAATAGAATCTAAAGGAATGCTTAATGATCTGGATTCATTTTAATTAAGCAATTGTCCTCTCTCCTCTTTTTTTTTAATCTATTCAAAGTGGGATTATTATTGGCTTTGTTAAACTTTTCAGTTTCTGAGGATTGGGGCTGACTTATACATGAAATTATGTTTGTTTTTCAATATTACATAATTCTGTTTGCTATATGATAAAAATAAAACCATTGTATCTATTTTTGTACACTTTTATATTTTAAAATCTGAATCCTAGGTATGCCATTGAATACGTTTTGAGATCTGCCTGGAGATGAGTGGCTACTCTTCATGGTATCTTGTGTATCTTAAATGATTCATGGCCAAAAGTTACTCAGTACCTACCTGCCTAAGGCAGGAAGGGCTACATGAAAGGCAGTCTTGGCAGCCTTTGAAAGCTGTGCATAGATGAGAAGCTTTGTGTTTCCAGGAGTTCTTATATCACTTTCTCATTTTCAAATTTTGCACATCCTCAAGAGACCTTGTCAAGGTCAGAAGCACAATGAGCTAACCAGGGGAAACCCCAGAGAAAGCCAAGATCTGAAAATAACAGCAGGTTCTCTAGCGAACCGCAGCCCTGCTGACTTGGCAAGTTTAGAGCACTGCAGTACTCTCTGGAAGGCAATAAAGTCCTTGGAGGAGGGACGAGGAAAGCAAAAGGGCAAGGAAATGAAAGGTGGATGTGATAAGATAACTGTTAAATAAGAAAGAGCAGGAAACAAAGAGAGAGGGAGTAGAAGGAGCTTTAAGGGAATAAAGAAGTAATTATTTGGTTAATCAGAAGATAAGTATAACTTTGGATACACTTTTAACATTCAAGTTTTGAGGAATATATTTCAAAATCTGCAGGTTTTATAAAGCCTTTGCTAAAAATACCTTTTGTGAAAATAAAATATGTACATGCTGCTTAAAATGCTCCAGAATGACATTTTAATCACGGGTATATATTTGAATAGAGGCCATGTGTGAGGCTATTCTAAGTTATTTGGCCAGAAGTATAATAAAAGTTAATCATGTTGTTTTATACTTTTTTTCATAAATACAATACAGATTTATTGTATTAGAAAGCTCACCTAGGAAGAGAAAAGTTTGCCTACAAAATTTTTGGTTTATATTAATGAAATAGCCATGGTACTTTGTCATTTCTCTTCATCTTGTTTCTACATTTTTATATTTAGATGTAAAAAATAAAATTTATTATGAAATCACAAAACTTCAGATGACTATGGAGCTTTATACCCAATATTTCTTAGTGATTACAGTGCACACTTTCCCTTTTTTCAATGGTTTACTAGTAAAAGACATAGCTACTTTATGCCCTCTAAGTATCAGAGGTACCTTTCTAGGTGGCTCAAAGAGACTACTGTTCAACAATGCAAAGAAGCTTATCACCCAATGTTGCTGTTCATCAGATACCCTAGATTGGTAGCATATTTCATTTCATAAAAATATCTACACACATCTTAATTGTTCTTCTCTTTCTTTTTTTAATTATAGCAGAAAATGGCCCCCATCTACTTGTGGAAGCAGAACAAGCCAAGGTGTTCTCACACAGAGGTGGCAATATTACACTGCCATGTAAATTTTTTCGAGACCCTACGGCATTCGGCTCAGGAACCCACAAAATCCGAATTAAGTGGACCAAGCTAACTTCAGATTACCTCAAGGAAGTGGACGTTTTTGTTTCCATGGGATACCACAAGAAAGCCTATGGAGGCTACCAGGGGAGAGTGTTTCTGAAAGGAGGCAGTGATAATGATGCTTCCCTGGTGATCACAGACCTCACCCTGGAGGATTATGGGAAATATAAGTGTGAGGTGATTGAAGGATTAGAAGATGATACTGCTGTGGTATCATTAGATTTACAAGGTAAGTATCTATAAATCATGTCAAACTTAGAAACTATAATTAATCATTATTCTTTGTTTTTCATGACCAGTGGCTACCATAATGATGATGTGAGAAACCGAAAGTCCATTTATAGCATATTTTTCAATTCTTTTGCATTTTGTAGTCTGTCTATGATTCCAACTTTCATATTTGAAGGGTACACACAGTGCTTATGTGCAAAATTGAAGACATTTGCACATAGGAGAAATGTGCAGTGTAACTGAATTGATAATATTCAGAAACTGCTTTATGCTATTCAAAATTTAAATCTCATTACATAATTATTAAGAAATTCAGTTTTGATACTTTTTTATTATACTTCTAAAATGATCTTAGTTTCAAAATAATGACAAGTTTTGTGAAAGACATCTACTAACTGAAGTACATGCAATTGTACTCTGTAAAGTAACTGTGAAAACTTAATTTAACAA